GCTCGGACACAGAGCCGAGCCACAAACCTTTGTTATCATTCCTTCCTATTCTTAGCCAGCCTTCTGATGAAATCCTTTCTTCTATTCTTTTAGTATAGTTTTAATATAATATATATCATAAAATAATAAATCAGCCCTCTGAAACATGGAGTCAGATCCTCGTCTCTTCCCACCTCCTAAGACCCCTGTGAGCACTGTCACACTTAATAATGGAGCTCTGTGCGTTGTGTTTTAAGGCTCACAAGCAGGTATTGTATTTGAAATAAGCAGCATTGTTTAACCAAAGGTACCTGTGCTTATGGTGATTGGATAGAACTACTGTCAATACACAATATATACTATACAGATACAAATACTGTCAATGTGCTTTTGCTCTGTGTGATTGGTCAAGAAGCTTATAAAGTGAGTTGTGACATTGAGTTCTGTGTCTGCTGCCTGGGATGTGAGCTGCTGGCATCTTCCCGTTGTCATAGCCATGGAATGAGGCTGGTGCTGGAAAATCCAACAGCTCAAGGCACATTCCCAGCAGCCCTGTCCTGTTCGTGGTCTGTAAATAACCCCCCCTGCCAGTGTCAGATGTGGAGCACAAATCCTGCAGAGAGCTCTGGGATCAGCCACTGCTGGCACCTTAAAGGGAGTGGGAGCAGCAATGCAAGGCAGGGATGCTGCTGGTGGGACAGGGACAGGGACAGGGACCCTTTGGGGGTCTCCATCACACAGCAAGCTCCCGTGGCTGCCTCCCCTCCCCATAAATGTTTTTCCAAGTCTTCTTCTCCCCGTGCTGAGCAGGGACAGGATGATAACGGCGGCTGGCACCAGCAAGTTAATTTTATAAAGGGAACTGACACCCTGCTCGAGTGCTGGCAATTTAAAAGAGTAATGGATTGTCAGTTTTAGCTGGGAAGTGGTTGTTAGATGATTTTAAAGTCTTTTGCATATTTATTTTGTCCCACTTTAAATAAATTTGGGGAAGATTTATCTCGTTAGCTTCAAATGCAAGTCCCTCTTGGCCCGGCTGAGGAAACAAATTAGACTTTGCAAACATTGCAAAGACTAAATCAATACATTAATATTTAGGGGACATTAAGGGGGTTTATTAAACAGAAAAAGGGCCTAGAGTATTACTTTGGGAACATTATACATGTTTAAATAAAAACCCGAGGTTGTGGTTCCTGACTGAATCTGTAAAAGGCATTTCCAAGGATAACTGAATTATTTACAGCTCCCGTGTCGGGAGCAGATTCCTGCAGGCTGAGGGGGAGCTGGGAGGGCAGCATGGAGCTGGGCTGGGGCTGGGGTCTCTGAGCCCTGCCCTGTGGCCCTGTGTCCCTGTTTGGGTCTGGGGTCCCTCTGAGCCCTGCCCTGTGTCCCTGTGTCCCTTTTGGGTCTGGGGTCCCTCTGAGCCCTGCTCTGTGTTCCTGTTTGGGTCTGGGGTCCCTCTAAGCCCTGCCCTGTGTCCCTGTGTCCCTTTTGGGTCTGGGGTCCCTCTAAGCCCTGCCCTGTGTCCCTGTGTCCCTTTTGGGTCTGGGGTCCCTCTGAGCCCTGCTCTGTGTCCCTTTTGGGGCTGGGGTCCCTCTGAGCCCTGCTCTGTGTTCCTGTGTCCCTTTTGGGGCTGGGGTCCCTCTGAGCCCTGCTCTGTGTCCCTGTTTGGGTCTGGGGTCCCTCTGAGCCCTGCTCTGTGTCCCTTTTGGGGCTGGGGTCCCTCTGAGCCCTGCTCTGTGTTCCTGTGTCCCTTTTGGGGCTGGGGTGTCTCTGAACTGTGTCCCTGCTGTCCCAAACCGGAGGGAGATTGAGCTGATTACAAACTGCTGCCATCGAAACTTTCAATTAATTATTTCAGAATTCTCACTTCTTTTTAATAAGGTCACTCAAATTAAGTTAACTGGATTATCTTACTCTCTTTCATGTGTTTTTTCCTTCACAGATGTAAATGTGGGCTGAAGACACAAGTTCTATTTTCTTTTCTATCAAAAACCTCAGTTAATTTCCCTGCTACAAAAAGGAGTAACTGCAGTGAGTAACACTGGCCAAGCCTGTACCTGCTGGTGTCCTTCAGGTGCTGTGCTGGCTTTGGAACTAGATTTGGGAGCAGTTTTGCTTTGTCCTCACTCATTTCTGCCCAAAGCTGAGGCTGTTCCTAATCTCCAGATACCCAGCTGGGGAAGAACTTTCAGGGAAACCTAAAGGTGCTCCCAGGATAACTCCTGTGTGATCCCGGGATAACTCCTGTATGATCCCGGGATAACTCCAGTGTGATCCCGGGATAACTCCCTGTGTGATCCTGGGATAACTCCAGTGTGATCCTGGGATAACTCCTGTATGATCCCAGGATAACTCCTGTGTGATCCTGGGATAACTCATTGTGTGATCCTGGGATAACTCCAGTGTGATCCCAGGATAACTCCTGTATGATCCTGGGATAACTCCTGTGTGATCCCAGGATAACTCCTGTGTGATCCCAGGATAACTCCAGTGTGATCCCGGGATAACTCCTGTGTGATCCCAGGATAACTCCTGTGTGATCCTGGGATAACTCCTGTGTGATCCCAGGATAACTCCTGTATGATCCCAGGATAACTCCCTGTGTGATCCTGGGATAACTCCAGTGTGATCCCGGGATAACTCCTGTATGATCCTGGGATAACTCCAGTGTGATCCCAGGATAACTCCAGTGTGATCCCGGGATAACTCCCTGTGTGATCCTGGGATAACTCATTGTGTGATCCCAGGATAACTCCTGTATGATCCCGGGATAACTCCTGTGTGATCCCAGGATAACTCCCTGTGTGATCCTGGGATAACTCCCTGTGTGATCCCGGGATAACTCCCTGTGTGATCCTGGGATAACTCCAGTATGATCCCGGGATAACTCCAGTGTGATCCCGGGATAACTCCCTGTGTGATCCTGGGATAACTCATTGTGTGATCCTGGGATAACTCCCTGTGTGATCCCAGGATAACTCCAGTGTGATCCCAGGATAACTCCTGTGTGATCCTGGGATAACTCATTGTGTGATCCCAGGATAACTCCCTGTGTGATCCCGGGATAACTCCAGTGTGATCCCGGGATAACTCCCTGTGTGATCCTGGGATAACTCCTGTGTGATCCTGGGATAACTCCCTGTGTGATCCTGGGATAACTCCAGTGTGATCCCAGGATAACTCCTGTGTGATCCTGGGATAACTCCAGTGTGATCCCAGGATAACTCCCTGTGTGATCCCAGGATAACTCCTGTATGATCCTGGGATAACTCCTGTGTGATCCTGGGATAACTCCTGTGTGATCCCAGGATAACTCCTGTGTGATCCTGGGATAACTCCAGTGTGATCCCAGGATAACTCCCTGTGTGATCCCAGGATAACTCCCTGTGTCATCCCCTAATAACTCCCTGTGTCCCCCCCTGACAGCTCCCTGTGTGCTCCCAGGATTTAGCCCTCTGGAGCAGAAGGGGCCGTCCCAGTCCCTCCCAGCAGTGGCCTCGGGGTCCCACTGGGATCACAAGTGGGTGTCAGGGTGTCCCTGCACAAAGGCAGGCACTGAGGGATGCAGGATCAGCCCTCCCAGAGCACTGATCCCCACCCTGTCCCCAGCCAGAGCTCTGAGTGCCACCTCCAGGTGCCACCTGCAGGGATGGGCTCTCCAAGCCTCCCTGGGCAGTTCCTGACCCCCTTTCCATGGGGAAATTCCTGCTGTGCCCACCCCGAGCTGCCCTGGCCCAGCCTGAGCTGTTCCCTCTGCTCTGTCCCTGTCCCTGTGTCCCTGCACGTGCCCCAAACCGAGCCTGAGGGTCCTGAGGCCACTCCCCAGGGTCACAGAAATGACTCCACGATATTTTAATAAAGCACACACGCTGAGCTCAGAGCTCCAGCCCAACATTCCCGCAGGATTCCCGCAGGATTCCTGTGGCTAAGGACAATTGGTGTGAGAGGTGGCTCACCCCGTTATTTCTGAGGGATTTCCATGTGCCACATGGATTAATAGGGATTGTCAGCTCAATTCTTCTCCTCTATATTCATTGCTTTATTACTCATAAAAATGCAAAAGAAAATGTTAATGATGATTGCACCAAAGACTAATAAGTTAAAGCCTTAGGTTATACTTTGCATTTCTGAAGATATAAATGCAATTGCTTAATAATTATGCATATTTTTAACTATTGAGTTATTATTTCTCTATATGCTTGTAGTTAGCCTAATTAATTTTAAGCTCCTGTTGATATATTTTATACACGCAATTAATTTCCAACTTGTTTTTTTAGCCCTTGCATGGGGGCATTAATTATTAGGAAGACAATCAAAACCAAGAATTGTTCACCCTGGAACAATGCAATAAATATTAAATCCATGTGAAAACTGACAGGGAAGGGAAGGGGAAAGGGAAAGGGAAGGGAAGGGAAGGGAAGGGAAGGGAAGGGAAGGGAAGGAAAGGAAAGGAAAGGAAAGGAAAGGAAAGGAAAGGAAAGGAAAGGAAAGGAAAGGAAAGGAAAGGAAAGGAAAGGAAAGGGGGACTCTGAAGGGGTTGCAGTTTGCCATGCCATGTCACCATATTTCTCTTCACAGAGAAAAGCAAGGCACAATTCTTCCCTGGAATATTTCTGGGTTTCGCATTCTCTGAACCTCAGAGAAAGAAAACACAATTCTTATTTGCTGTGCCTGTGTTTGGCAAAAGTAGAATGCAATGTGGAGATTGTTTTCCCAGAGTGATGGTGCTTTGTTTCCTTGGCCTGTCAGGTCCAGGTGTGTGTGTTGGGACTGTCACTGACAGTCATGAGATGCTGTGCAGTTGTGTGCAGAGCTGAGTGCTTGGCAGATTCAGTTTAGATGTAACGTGTAATATAATATAGTGTATATGATGTAATATAATACAGTGTAATATAATATAGAATAATATAGTATAATAAAGTAATTAATTAACCTTCTGAAAATAAAACTCAACTAAACCCAAAAAAAACCAACAAAAAACCCCCAAAGCCTATAACGCCAGGGCAGTGCCGGCCTACCTTGCACGGTGAGGTGCACCTGCATGGTCCTGGGCGTGTGCTGGGTCTGCACGGAGCAGGTGTAGGGGCCGTCGTCGGTCACGTCCACGTCCTGGATCTGCAGGCTGTACTCGCGGCGGTTGGCCGTGGCAATGGACACGCGCGGATCCACCGACCACTTGTCGCCGCCTGCGAAGATGATGCTGGAGCGGTTCAGCCAGGCCCCCTTGGAGGCTCCATCTTCCAGGTAGCACCTGGGGAGAAGGGAAACCCTGAGCGCGGGGCTGGGGGAGCTGCCCGGTGCCGCTCGCTGCTGCGTTGGGGCTGAGCACAGCTGGGGTTTATCAGAGGATAAACCCCACACCGGGGATCGCTGTTAGCTCAGAGCCAGCCTAAACCCCACAGCCCAGCCTACAGACACAGGAGCCACAGGGGTATCTGCCTGCCCTGCTCTGCTGCTGGAGCACTGGGAGGAAAGCCTCAGTTATTATTCCAGCCCTCTGTCCTGCAGCCTCAGCCCTGAGGGTCAGCAGCACCGTGTGCTGCACAGAAAATTCCTGCCCCGCTCCTGAGGCACAGCCCCTTGTGCTGCTGAGCTCAGGAACCAAGAGACTTCTCCAGGAAAAATGATCTGGACACCAGAGAACCCAAAACAGCTTCTTTTCAGAGGGGCCACAGAACCCCAGAATTCCCCAATGGGTTGGGTGAGAAGGGACCTGGCAGCCCATCCCATTACCCCATTAATCCATCCTATTACCCCATCCCATTACCCCACCCCATTAATCCATCCCATTACCCCATCCCGTTATCCCACCCCATTACCCCATCCCACCCCATTATCCCACCCCATTACCCCATCCCATTATCCCAGGAGCCCCTCTCCCTCAGGGGCTGCAGTGAGGGGTCCCAGGACAGGGAGGAGAGTTATGAGCAGCTTTATTCCACGAGATGTTGAGGAGCCTGAGCCTGCCTTGGGGCTTGAGGATGTCTAAGCCTGGCCCAACAGCACCGTGCTCCATTTCCCAGAGCCAGCACGTGGGAAAAGGCAGAGCAGCCAGTGGAATAAGGGCCAGGAGAAGCTGCACAGGGCTGAGAGCAGGGAGCTGCAGAGCCAGCAGCCATCGGGAAGTGATGCTGTGGCACCAGGAAATCTGCATTTCCCTCCACAAGTTAACAACTCTTTGGGAAACGTGGAGAACGAATTAGGCAAATTTTAGACTCACCCCCCACCCATGCCCACCTTGGAATTTAAGGCTTTGAAACAGTTTTAAAAGCTGGAGGAAGGTGGGAAGGAGGATAATACAAAGTGCAACAGACTAATGGGACATTTTTATTTCATAAAGAGCTTTCTACATGAAGGAAATCTAAGAGAAGAAGAGAATGCAATAGAGCTCATCCCTTTGATGAAACATTAAAATAGCACAACCATAGAAACTGGAGGGAGAAAATGGTGATTTGGTGCCTTAAGCATCTGGCAGTATTGTTTAAGTGGAAAATGACATTCCATTCAGGAATAAGGAACTGGAAACATCAGGCTGAAATGGTTCAGAAACAAAGCAAGAGAATAACCATTCATTTAATTAATGATCTCAACATTAAATCTGAAAGGGTTCTGAGGGCTAAAATATCCCCATTTATAGAGCAGAGAATTGGGATGTCACCGGGAAGTGGCACTTTGAGGTTGGCATCCCTGCAGGAGGAGCTGTGCAGGGCCTGGTCCCATCCAGGGAAGGCAAGGAGCCTCTTTCAAAGTCCTGAGAGCGTTTTGAACTCGATTCTAATGAACAGCGGGGTGGGAGAGGCACAGAAAGCCCCAATTCAGGGAGGTTTTTCTAGCACGTGTTCCTTTCCCAGAGGCTTTCTGCAGCAGCTGGATGCAGTCCATCCAGCACAGCTGAGCAGGGAGCTGTCCCTGCCCGGGGCTGGGCTGCAGTGGCAGCAGATTTAGGGTCCTTCCCACCCCAAACCACCCTGGGACTCCAGGAATTACAAATCAGCATTTCTGCAGGTAGCCTGTGGTTCAGTGAGCATTTACCACTCCATTAATTTCACTCTCCCACTGTTTATTCACACTCGCACATCCAAACCTTGGAGGGAAACCTCAGCTCTGTGAATTCTTCCCCAAGGAGAGAAAAGCAGCCTCCTCCTCCTCCTCTCCCAGCACAAAAACCCAGCTCCACCACTCCACCAACTCCCTGCCCTCTGTGTGGCTTGCCAGGAAAGAAGAAAAATCAGAAAAGAATTCACAGAATTACTGGGGCTGGAAAAGACCTCCAGGATCTCAGGGTGGTGTCACAGACATCTTTTATGGAAAATCCTTTCCTTAGGGTTTCTCCTCCTGAGAAGCTGGGAGGCCTCAGGAACAAAATGCAAGCAATGGTTATCTGCTGCTGTGGAATGCAACAGGTGCATCTGGGATTGGGCTCATGTGGTTGTTTCTAATTAATGGCCAATCACAGTCAGCTGGCTCGGACAGAGAGCTGAGCCACAAACCTTTGTTATCATTCTATTCTTAACTTAAGGAAAGGATTTTTCATAACAGTTGTCTGTGACAGTTTGCAGCCCCAGCACAGCCAATACCCTGTGCTTCCCCAGCACCCACGTGGGATGTGATGGATAAAGTGCATATTTACCCCACGGAAGCAGCAATCAGATGATTCATCTCAGAAATGTTTTCCAAGCTAACAGAATTAATCCCTGGCTGTTTGTAAATCCCCTCGCAGGCCTGGAGTCCCTGTCACTGCCCAGAGCTCTCCTGCAGGACACAGAGCTCACCTCCTGCCACTGAGCTCTGAACAGCACAGCCTGCCATGCATTTCTGCAGGGGAGCAGAAACAGGGGAAATCCAGGGGTTTTACTGTTAAAGGGAAGCCTTCCTTTTCCTTTTCCTTTTCCTTTTCCTTTTCCTTTTCCTTTTCCTTTTCCTTTCATCCCAAACCTTTACAATTTCCCAAAGAAGAGCAGTTTTTCCCCATACAATTTGTGTGCCACTGTGCTTCTCCTGCCCAGGGCAGGGCAGGGATTCCAGCAGAGCATGAGGAGCTTTAGCAAAAATAATAACAATAAAACCCTTCCTACAGCAATCTCTGGGAAATCATTCATTAAAAGGATGAGCAACAGTAAAAACTGCAAATATCAGAGGTCTTCCCTGGCTTTTGCCTTTCCTCTCTTCCCCTTTCCTCTCTTTTCCTTTTCCTCCCTTTCCCTGAATTCTGTTCCTATTAAACTCCCTGTACATCCCAGCAGCATTTCCTGCAATGTAATTTTCAAAATCTATGCATAGAACCAATTATTTTTAGCAATTAATGATAGCGCTGCAGCACAACTAAAGTAAGCATAACAGTCACTAAATAAAATTGACTTTTGCTCTTTTTACCTTGCCATGGCTTGGAAAAGTATTGATGAAACCATAGCTGAACTCAGAAGAGAATTCTTCTGTATTTAAATTTGGAAGATTGGAAAGAAGCACAGTTTCTTTTTTAACTGATGATTGTAATCAGAAATTCCCCACACAACAAGCATAAAAAATAGATTTTAATGTTAACTGTCATACACGGCTGAGGGCACTTTATTATTTTTCCAATCATTATTAATGGGGATGATCTTCTGTAATTTGTAAGTACGGAAAAATACAGTCTCACCCAGCTTCCCTCAAGTTTTTAATCCTCTTTTTTTTAATGCCTCCCACTTTCCCAGCTCTCTAGTCTATTATTCCACCATAATTAAAACAGAGATCCATTAATCTTTGTGAAAAACAGCTCTTGCACTTGCTTAATTAAAACTGCACAGGGGCTCTGCTCCAGGAGCATCCACGGGCTGGGATCCCACCTGGCTGCCCTGAAGGACAGGAATGGCCTGGAATTGCCTGGAATTACCTAGAATTTCTTGGAATTGCCTGGAATTGCCTGGAATTGCCTGGAATTGCCTGGAATGCTCCCCAGCCTGGTCCTGCTCCAGAAACCCCAGGAATGGAAGACATCCTGTGTCCAAGGGGCCTGGGCTGCAGATGGAAGGCGTTGGGCAGTGCTTGGGAGGAGAAAAATCTCCGATTTCTGCAATGGTTTGGATTGGAATGGACCTCAAATAAACCCCATCCATTCCCACCCTGCCATGGCAGGGACACTCCCGCTGTCCCATTGTCCAGCCTGCCCTTGGGCACTGCCAGGGATCCAGGGCTGCTCTGGGCACCTGTGCCAGGGCTGCCCACCCTGCCAGGGAAGGATTTGTCCCTAATCTCCAGTCTAACCCTACCTCCCTTCAGTTTAAATTTATTTACTTTATTGATCCTTTTTCTTCTGCATTCAGAATTTACTTTCTCACATTAGCTGTAGCTCCAAGCCCGTAATTCTGCTCCTGAGTAATTATAGCATCATTAACCCCTCCTGCTCCTGCAGCACTGCTCCCAGAGCCCCCAGGGGTTGCTCACTGGCCAGGGACCTCAGATTGCCATGGGTGGGACAGGGGACACCAACATAGGGACACTGGGCAGCTGCTGGGCTGGCTCATAATCCCATCTGCCTTGGGATGCCCCAGCAGGAAATCTGTCTGCAGATAACCAGGGATTAACCCCTCCATCTGAGCCTCTCCCAGCAGAGAACCAGCCCAATATTAGTAACTAAGAGCAAAGTGTTTGCTCCTCTGCAGGATTGGGAGTGCAATTTCCCTACAGCCGATGCCGTGTGCCCTTTAATCTCTGTGCCTCCACCCTCAGCACCTGCCAGTCCATCCAATGGGAGAAATCCCATTTTCCTGGGCTTTCCACATTCCCAGGGGTTCCCACATTCCCAGGGGTTCCTGGCACAGCACCCCGGCCATGCCCTTAGTGGGAGTTTCCCTCCTGCCACCAGAAATTGGATTTTTCCCCACGGCAAGGACCGAGAAAACGCTGCTGCCACGACTGCAATAAATTCATTTGGTTTTAACTATACAAAATTATTTCCCCCCTCCCTTTCACAGATGTATTTTTCATACTAAAATGGACCAAACACTGCAGTGTAAAGCTCAGGATTTTCAGTCATTAATCACTTCCTTCATGGGAGCCCACATTGTTTTCTGTTTGAAGGCGCAGAAACAATATCCCACACCACTGTAGGTGTGAGAGCCCTGGTTCCAGCTTCAGAGAGTAACTCCCAAATTCATCACATTATTTGAAATATTAAAAAAGGGCTGGCTGTTGCTTTTGATATTTATTAATTCCTGGAGATTTATGATAGAGAAACACTGACTTGCAGAGATTACAAAGAAGGCATTACCA